GTTGGAACCGACTCCACAGCACACAACAACAACATGCTCACCTACTCACACAGCAGGCCAGTCAGAGCAACGTTGGAAATCTGCAGTCACATGATCCTGGAGGACAGAGTCAGACTTAGGCATCTGCCAACAGGAGGAAAGAGAAGCAGACAGGCCCCTGGGGTGAGGAGAGCAGGGCAGGAGTGACTCTGGTGGTGCACACACATCCTCACCATTTCACAGGTGAGGATGCTGACACCCAGGTTAACCACAATATTGCTCATTCTCATCACTGCCATCTGTTCTGCTCTCAGGCATAAAACCTAACACTGGCATTGCAGCTCAGTGATGGGCATGAAGCTATTCCTAGAGTATAGGAAGCCATCATATGGGCTCAAGTGGGGACAGCGTAACAAGGTCTTTCTGGGACTTCATGTGCAGCAATGCTCACAGTGGGCAGAAGCTGACACCCAGGTATCTGACTGGAGCAGAGTGTAAGAGGGCTTCCCTGAGATAAAACAGATTTCCATTTTAACTGTTTTGAAAGCCGAGGTACACATAAGTACCACTTATATGTTCCATCTCTGGAGTTTCTTGGGAGGCTTTCCCCACATATAATAGGAACTGTTGTCGGGGTGGGAAATTTTGTAACTGTGTAATACAGAAGGAAGCTCGTTGGTGACATATCAGAGTGTTGAGAGGTTACTGCATGAGGTGATGCACCCTAGAGGAATGAGTGTGTATAGCTTTTGTCTCTTTGGGCTTCTGTTCAGTGAGACAAGGCTTATAAGTATATTTGCCATTTCCTGTGTGTTTGGGAAAGTATGTTCAGGAATAGGTAATATACAAGTGAATATTTTTTCATGTCTCATCCCACTTATATCAACACCAGAGTCCATTGGGACATATATGTCCCACATAGGATTTATTGAAATTCATGAGAACTAGCAAACTTTTAAAAAAAATACAATGACTCGTGATAAGCCACTCATTGGTGGTGGCTATGTGCCGTGGAGTCAGTTCCAACTCATAGCAACCCTGTACAGGGTTTCCAAGGCTGTAAATCTTTACAGGAGTGGAAAGCCTCATCTTTCTCCTGCGAACAGCTGGTAGTTTCTAACTGCTGACCTTGAGGTCTGCAGCCTGATTA